GTTGCAGCCGTCATTGTTGTTTGGCGGGTCCGGGCTGGGGATTCGAACTCACCACCTTAGGTGTACATGGCTGGCGCCTTAGCCGGTTGAGCTATAGGAGCCGAGCCAATTCTTTCTTTCTCAAAGAGCACTCCTACTTAAAATCATACTCCTACTTAAAATTATAAAATATCTCTAACCCTCGTTATTGTGATCCAATTTACTTACTTATTATGTGTCTTGGCTTTCTCCCCCCACCAAAATATAAGTCCCCACAAGAGCAGGAAGCTTGGTCTATTTTGTTCCCTGCCAAATTGCGAAGGTCTAGTAACTACACGCCTGGCACACAGTAAGTGCTCAATAAATGCCAATTCACTCCCTGGGAGACCCCTCCCCTAGGCATATATTCCACTAACTTTAACCCATTCCAAAGGGTGTCAGGCTCCACCCTGTGCAAACATTGCTGGGCTGGCACCCAGCCAGGCCTAAAGAGGAAGAATGAGAACCCAAACTCCCTGCTGTGGACTTTCCCCAGGACACAGGGCCACGCGGAAGTCCTGAGGCAGGCAGGCAGTCCATTTTCAAGACGCTGAGCCCCCTTACTTGGGGGCCAGACTTCCCCCTAGCTCTGCATTTGGACTCTTGTCTGCCTGACAGTTCTAATTTACTGTGCAGCTCCAGGCAAGTGGCTAGCTTTTTCTGAACCAGTGTTTGTAATCTGTAAATCAAGGAGGTGGATGGCACAATGGAACTGAACTCTGTGCTCACCATTACCACCACATGACCAGGAATCTATCATTTCCTGCTCTCAGGAGCCCTGTGATATAATGACTCTTACTATCCCATTTTACAGAGTGAAAATGGACAGAAAAAAGGGCTGGAAGGCAGATCTATCAGACTCTGTGGGGTTTCCTCTCCAAAACTCAGGCAGGGTGGCATCTGACAGTGGAGATGTGTGCTGCCCCAGCCCCACAGCTCCCCAAGTCTGAAGTATCCCACTCCCCAGGAGCTCCACGGCCACACAATCCCATCTACCCTGGGTGACCCCAAATGCCAGGCCTGCCCTGTGCCCCTCTGTGTGAACACCTGTGCCTCCCTGGTCCTGGTGGAGGGGGCCCTCTTGGTCCTGGACAAAGAGACCTGAGGTGCAATCAGACACTCTGCTTATAGGGAGCTCCTTTTGTCCTGCCATTTGGGAGCAAATGACCCAGAAAAATCTCCTGCCATTGGCCCCTCCCCATCCCAGGTCTGGGGTCTCCACTTTGCTTCTCATTTCCCCCCCAAAAGGAATAAAGATTATATCCCAGCACCCTCACCTCTAAAACTCCTGGAGTCTCCAGCAGTGAGATTGAGTAGATCGGGGGAGGGTGCTACAGTTGTTTAAAAACTTGAGAGCCTTTTTTAAAGTTCTGGGAAGGAATGAGGTCCCAGCCCACTTCATCTGTCACCTCCGGCCTGTCTCAGGCTGTGGAAGATAAACCCAGTGCCACGCCCCACCCCCAGTTGAAACTCCTTTTCTCAGTTTGGGGGATCAGAGACCAACCTGTGCTTCTTGCCACCTCTCCAACCCCCAACCACCAAGACCAACAATGACCCTTTTAAGTCTTGGCTCCAGCGTCCTGGGCAGGCCGCCAGGGGCAGTAACTGCCAGTCAGATAATCCCTTGGAAACTATGTCAGATGCCCACGCAGGAGTTTCAGTTTCCTGTTTTCTGGGGAGCCAGAGGGAGGCAAATGAGGGGTCCCAGGACCCTGAGGTGGTGAAACCCAGTTCAGAAGATGTCCACAGGGTGGGGGGCAGAATGGGGCAGGGGACTTACCTGTCTATGAGGCTTGGTGGCCTGTGGGCCTGCGTCAAGAGCCAGAGCTGGGGTGTCCACCTGGCATCAGGGGTAGGGAGGGCACCTGAGGCTTGTGGCTCTGACCTCCCCACCTAGGGGTCCAATTTTTCCTCTGTCTGGTGGCAACAGGCAGGTAGGTCCTATGCTGGGTGGGACTCACAAGCGTGACAATATGCAAGGCAAACCTGTGAGTGTAAGAGACCTGCCAGTAGGCGGATTGGGTGTGTGGCTCTGTCGGAAGGTGCTCTCACGTGGGAGCAGTTGGCCTTAACCCCTGATCACCCAGAGGCCAGAGACACCATGGGACACAGAATCCTGCTCCTGCGTGTGAATTGGCGTTTAGTAGGTGTTCAGGGAAATACCTGTTGAATACAGTAAGGAATGGATGAGCCACATCTCCTACCCCCTCCTCCCTGCACTGTCCTTGGACCTGGAACTTCTCAGCCTTTGTACTTGCTGTGCTCTGCCAGGCATGCAGTCCTGCCAGATTGCCATAGGCAGGCGGACTCCTTTGCTCCTGCAGATCTGTGCAAATTCTGCTTCTCTGCCATGAACTGACTGGATTACTATGCAGAGAAGCTTCTGTCACTTCCTAGGTTTGTAGGTTTAGGCAAGTGATTGGGACTTCTCTATGAAAATGGGGACAATATCAGCAGGTCCTGGGGTTGCTTTAAAGAGTGTGTGTGTGGCACTTGTGATGTGTGGCTGGTCCCAATGAATGAGACACTGGGAAGTATAACATGTTTGTGGGACTTTGAAGCTTTGATGTGCAAAAAAAAGAATGTAAAAACAGCACATTAACTTTAATCTTGAGGCGGTGCCCATAGCTCAGTGGTTAGGGTGCTGGCCACATACACTCAGGCTGGCTGGTTCAAACCCGGCCCGGGGCCAGCTAAACAGCAATGACAACACCAACAAAAAAATAGCTGGGCACTGTGGCAGGCGCCTATAGTCCCAAGACAATCACTTAAGCCCAAGAGTTTGAGGTTGCTGTGAGCTGTGATGCCACAGCACTCTACCCAGGGTGACATAGTG